CCATGCTGTCCTGCTTCAGGCCTGCGCTTCCCGGACACCAGCTGTCACACAGGAAGCTGAGGCCTCTCTTTCTCCCGCCTCCTTTGCTGGCTGGAGCTGCAGGATCATGGCCTGCAGAGTTTCCTTCACCATCTGGAGCTCCCTCTTGAGAGACTGTGCGAACGTTGTTAAGGAACACACGCGAAGGTGACGGGCGGCCCTCCGCAGCCTCCCAGGGATCTCATAACAGCACGTGTGCCTGCCGGAAGCAGATGGGCACTGCCATCTAATTGCGGTGTCGAGTTCTCCCAAATTGTAGGAATTAAATATTAATACAAATTTTACCCTTCGTGCAAGAGCGATCGCAATCTCTATGAGGCCTGAGGTTATTAACTCTCTCAAGGAAGGTTTCAAAACGGAAGAGGGAGACTCATCTCTTAGACCGAAACAGATGGCCACCTGGGATGCTCCATGATGTTGGGTCAGCCTGACTGACTCCTGCTAAGGCCCAGGCTGGGGCGGGGCAACTGTTCCCAGTGCTCAGACAGCTGAAAAGGGCAGAAGGCTGGAGACGAGAGCTTCCTCAAGAAATCTAGGATTTGGGGGCCACCGTGGGTCTGGACTTATGTGGGCCACAAGTCACCTTGTGCAAATCACTCGGAACCTCAGTTTTATCGTGAAACAATGATTTCTAAGCCCCTGTCGATTCCACTGTGCCGTCGCGTGTCATTTATAACCCCCAGCTACTTGTGAAATAGCCGTTCAGCCCACTCAAGATTTGACAGAGTGCGGGGAGCTCGCCTTTTCTGGGTGGGCTGGTTGGGTTTTCCATCAACTGTTGGGTTGTTAGTTTCCTGGCCTGTAAAGTTGCTTCTCCCATAGAGAAAACCATCACAGAGAACTTAGCGAATAATAAACGAGGCTGTCGTTCTCTTAAGAAATGAGCCCTTTCCCAGGACTACATTTAACAAATGGTGGTTTTCTCTCCATGGTCAGGTCCCTGTTTCCTCTTGTACCTGGAGTCAGAACAACTCAAAGATGAACGGGATGAGAGACAGATGACATCCTTTTCGATTCATAAGCAAATTAATTTAACTTCATCCAAGAGGAATGAAGGGGGATATGGAAATATGTCAGTTAAACATCACCTCAATACTGTTAAGTCATCACATGAGGTCAGACGACTTAAACATTACCAGACCAGACATGAAGAAAACAGAAAGCTTTGGGAAAAGTAGATTGTAGAGATCTTAACCATTCACAGCCTGTCAAGGCTACCATGTTGTTTTATTTAAGTACAATGTCAGTGCAATGTCAAGAGAAAAAGAGCCCCCCAGGTTATGACTGTAGAAAGCTTTCTCTTTCTTTTTCAAATAAAGAACTCCGGAGGATCCTGGGAGTTATGCAAATGAACTTCTCCTAAGCAAAGATGCTGAACCACCCTGAGAAGCTTCTGGCAGCTTTTCTTCCTGAAGCTCCCCTCCAGACTTCATCTTTCGTGTAATTTACATTCATTGACTATGATGGTTCACTCCTTGCACTTGAGCTTGAGGGGAGTGAGGGTGGGGATAAGCGGGTGCAAGGAAAGAAAGAATCCAATATTTATATGTATTTTTTTTTCTTTTTGAAAAGGCTTCATTTTCCTCCATTTCTCTGGACAGCTCTGCTAATCTTCAGTGAAAACATATATAACTTTGTACGAGTAAAAGCATAAGTGGTCCCAGACTAACTACCAAGCTGCAACTTAATCACAAAATTATGTCACATTTATAAAGAGTAAGCACAGAGCTTAAGCAGTGTATGAATCCTGACAAATTCCTGAGATGTAATTACCTTTGATACTCAGCCTGGGACTACACGCCCCTATTGATAATAGGCTAAAAGATGACACAGGTTTTTGAGAGAACCGACCCAAAATGAGATGCTTCTTAAAGAACTTGTACAATTTCTAAGCCCTCGCAGAACCCACTGAAAGGTTTCTTAAAAGAGACCGAGGGAGAAGCCACAAAGGAAGAAGGCTAAGTTACAGAATTAAACTAGCACGTCAGCCCTTCACACGACAAGCTGCACGGACACACAGAAGCCAGAGGATAGAGGTTGGAGCAAATGATCACCAGCAACAGAAAGCTGGCAAATCACTTGATGTTTTCACTGTCTCACTCAGAAACTGCATATGCTCGGGAATCTCTCCTCTACCTTCTCGAAGGGATGCTGCTCGATTCATGAACTATTTAATAAGCAGCGTATTGAATAGTTCATGATCTTCGTGAATGAAATAAATTCACCATTCGATCTTCAAAAAATAAAATAAAAATTAAAAATAAAAATAAAACACATAGTCTCATACCTTCCTCACAAGGCTAGAGTTAAAAGAAATATTCTTTTCTCTTGTGAGCGTATCGTGCCTTTTGTGAGGCACTATTAGACTTAAGGTTTATGCACTAATGTAGCAGATACAGCAAATACCTCAGGCTCTGTCAAAGCAGGACTGGATATCGAGATCCTGGATGCCTCGTTTAGTGAGCCTATGGAGTAATGATCATCAGAATGATTAAAATCATGTTTTTATTACAACAAGTGTTGGTGAGGACGTGGCAAAAAAAGGAACCTTCATGCACTGTTGGTGGGAATGCAAACTGGTGCAGCCACTGTGGAAAACGGTATGGAGGTTCCTCAAAAAAATTAAAAATAGAATTACCATGTGATCCAGTAATTCCACTATGAGGTATTTACTAAAGAATACAAAAACACTAATTTGAAAATATGTATGCATCCCTATGTTCATTGCAGCATTATGTACAAGAGCCAAATATGGAAGCAGCCCCAGTGTCTACCGATAGATGAATGGATAAAGAAAAAGTGGGGTGTGTGTGTGTGTGTGTATAATGGTATAATGGAATATGACTCAGCCATAACAAAGAATGGAATTCTGACATTTGCAACAACATGGATGGATCTAGAGTATTATGCTAAGAGAAATAAGTCAGTCAGTGAAAGACAAATATCATATGATGTCATTCATATGTGGAATTTAAGAAACAAAACAAACCCCCAAAACAGACTCTTAACTATAGAGAACAAACTGATGGTCACCAGAGGGGAGGTGGGTGGGGGGAGGGGGGAAATAGGTGATGGGGATGAAGGAGTGCACCTGTTGTGATGAGCTCCGGGTGAGGTATGGAAGTGTTGAATCACTATGTTGTACTAATATAGCACTGTATGTTAACTATACTGGAACTAAAAAAAAAAAAACTAAAAATAAATCATGTTCTTATTTATAAAATACCTCCTTCTAACCAACCTGCCTGTGTGATGCCTTATTAAATATAAGTTCCAAAACATTTTGAATGCGCTAAAATGGAAGAGAATCCAGGATAAAATGTGGAGTGGGGGGTGGGGTGGGGAGCAAGTTACAGAACAATTTATATGAAATTATCCTAATTTTACAAAAAAAAAAAAAACAACCAAAAAACCAAAAAACTCTAGACAGAAGTGATTTCTACCTAGAAAGGTGCCTTAGAAGGACACAGTGGTAAGCTTCTAGGTATTGGTCCTGGGAGGAATATGTAGCCTTTCTCCCCCATGCTTCTGTAATCTTCAAATGGACACACATCCTTTTATATTTAAATCAATGTGTTTATAAAAGAAATCACTTGAAAGGTTCCGCCATTAAGCAGTTGGGGAAATAAAACAGAAAAAGATCCTTGTTCTTTCCTTAACTCATTCGAATATTCAAACATCTCCTGAGCTCCTGCTGTGTACTAAGAAAGGTTCTGGATATAAGAAGCAGATGAGTGTAGTGCCAGTGAGTGGAGCAGAAAGTAAACCCGTATGGGCATGTATGTAGACTGTGAGATGGGGGCCATGGAGGGTTGGAGCAGGGCAGTGGCTGATCACTTTGGCCACTTTCATCCCTAATAGGCTAAAGGGGGCAACGGCAGAAGCATGGAGATGAGAGGAGGTGGTTGCAATAAAAGGCAAGAAAAGGTCACATACTGAACCTGGGTAGTGGCCATGGAGGTGAGAGGTGACCAGATCCTACATATGTTCGGAAGGTAGAGCCAACGGCATACGGTGATGGACCAGATGTGGAAGGCGAAAGAAGGAAAAGGCATTGAGAATGACTCCCGGATTTTTTTTTTATCTAAGCAATGAACTTATAATTTATCAAGGAGGAGACTGATCTAGAGTCAGAGTATCTGATTGCCAGTCCAATAAACTCAAAGTGGAAGCCCACTGACATATTTGGCCTTCCTTTTTATCCAAGTGCTGAGCAAATAAAGTACACCTCCTATAAAAATTACAGGAATTTTAGGTATATGTGATAGAGGTGCTCATTACATCTAAGTATAAGAGAAAGTCTCGAAGAGCTGAATGATTCTTGTGACTCCTGTGCCATTGAGACCTCTATATAGCTAAATAGAAATTTCCCCTGTAACAGATATGTCACTAGATATCTGTGGCATCTAAGAAAAGTAGCACATTAATTACAATAATGGCACAAGGATTAATATGCCAACGTCTTTAAAAACACCTTGGGAACCCAAAACCATTCTTTACCACTTTGGGATAGACTATACACATATTAAGCAAGGGTCTAAGTTCTTATACCCTTGCTAACAAAATAAGGCAAAATATGTTTGCAATGAGCAAAGAAGTGAGCCAGTTAAGTCAACTTTCACAGATGTCATCCAGGAACACAGTGGTAAGACGATATTGCCAGTTGGGGCAGCCATTTGCAAAGACCCTCAAATTCTTTCAAAGAGGCCTTTTGTTTACGTTTAATAACCGTTGAGGGTTTGACTGTCAATTGGGTTTCCAAGCAATCTTTTAGTATCTTGGTCAAAAGTAGGTCAGTTCATCTGGTCTGGGTCAATTCAAAAAGAGACAACAGTATTCCTTTGAAACAGCCTCTTATTTGCTAAAGTGTTTCTCCGGGATCAGCAGTGATGCCTTCCCAGCCACTGTGGCTGACAGTGAGAGGATTTACCTTCAGGAAAAAGGAAGGCAAGGAACACGGTTGCTGAAGAGCCAAGAGGAAAGCCTCACCCATACACGTGTCCTGCCTCAGTGGGGTTGATGCTCTTACAGGAGAAACTCTTCATGGTGCCCACCACGTGCCCAGTTTGCAGTGCGCCAAGCCAGCAGGAGGACAGCCCGGTGTCCACACTGCCTCCTAGGCTTCCTCTCCCCACCTGGCTCCCTTTGGTGGAAGCCCCTGGAAGAAAAAAAAAAAAAAAAATCCTGGCCACCATATCCGCATCTGTCCAGCGCACACGATGCTTTCAGGGACAACCTCTTAAGGTCTGTTTTCTTATCCGTAAGATTCCCAAGTAGAGTTAGTTCTGTGATCCTCATGGTGTCTCTTCCAGCCTTTTAGCTCTTCAGGGGAAAACATTTCCAAGAAGGCACAGCAAAATCTCCCCAGACTCCTGTTACTTTTGTTTAAGCTACACATTGGAAAGTTGAGCCAGACAAGGGATCGTAGGGGGATGTGATGTTTGTACACGCGCCTGGCTGTATTAGAGCATTTGCATGCCATCAGGCACCACCAAAACGAATCGATTGGGCACCATGCATTCCAAATAAGCAGAGAGAACAGAATTCCATGATGGTCTCCCGGACATGGATGCAAATAGAACCAAAAGGGAAGCAGCCTGTCCCATCTCATCTGTGATTCAGAGGTGGGCAGAACTGCCCCGGGGGCTTTGAAATATGCCAAAAGTGTCCCAATCTGAGATGCACTCTTTCTTTCCCCTCTGGAAGTGTGTTGTAGAAGTTGAAGGAGGAAAAACAAAAAAACAAAAACAAGAAGAAATCTGCTTTAAAAAATCCACCTCACTTGGATAATTTTCAGTTAAAGCATTCTGAGCATGGAGGAACCGTTCAAAATGGTTTTCAAAACAGAACTGCTAATTAGGACCCCAAAGGACTGTGAAATTGCACTAGAGGCTCAGACTAATGCTCTTGGAAATCCCGACTTGACTGGCAGGGGAGTCACGCCTCCTGTCCTCTCCTCAGGCACCAGGCATGAGTCACCTCCGTGATGCCGGCTCTTCCAATTAATGGTGGAGACTTTTTTCAGACACTTGCCGGTACAGTAGCAGTCACGGGTCTGTGTCACCGTCTGGTCATGCTACGTGTAATTTAGTGAGTCCGTCAGGATGATGAAGACACGGGGTCTATTTTCTTTCCCTTCTTGGAGCTGTCAATCCAATATCTTCTTCATAAAAGCAGGACACTCCCAGTAGGCTGCCCAAAGCCCCGATATCAAGTCAGGATGCCCAGGGGATCTGTCTGGAAACGCATCCCCACTGTCGACGAGTGGCCCAGCCCTCTGTTGACACCTTACTAACGATGCTTTCTCACATGCATGGGCTTATGTGGAAGCCCAGTGCCCTCCACCCGCCAAAAGAGCATTCGTAGCATCCAGGGCTGGACTCTTCTGGACGTGGACATTCACTGTGGACGCACGTTAATCACGTTCGCGCCATATCATCTGCGCGCTAGGCTCTGGCAGAGTGCTTAATGGAATCAAACAAAAACATTACACTCACTGTGTAATTCTTCCGTGTTGTTGATGGCAAGCTGTTTCTTTCAACTGTACTCAGCTTTGTATCTTTGATCAAGAAAGGAAACACCAACCAGTCAGAGTTTGGCTGGCGGATTCAGCAGCCTCTTTGAACCTGTAGATAAGGTCTAATTTGAAACAAGGGCTTTGCTTTGTGCAGGGAGCCTATGCAGAGCCTTGTAAATATGTCTTTCTATTTTAAGGTGCCATACCCCACTCCAATCTAAGGGCTGTGTTCTATGAGTTCAAAGATACCTTCTGTGTATTTGCTTTCAGTCAGTGACACAGAACAAAGTTTGGGCTTCAGAGGAAAGTTTGGATTGGATTGAAATCCATATGGTAGTACAGATTTGCTTTGAGGGGTGGGGAGGGGAGTGTCTTCAGTACCTAAAACAGTGTTTCCCAGCCCTGGATTGACATGCCCCCCACTACATCTCCGCTTATCTCCGCAAGGATCGGCAAAATTCTCAAAAACCCTGACGTCAATGAAATACTTTTATTATACCTTAAAAACTTTAGACGATCTCTGTGTCCACAGAACAGGCCTGACCACTTCCTTAGAGGTTGAGCTACCTCCCAAACGGACCGAGGACCATGGAGCTTGCCACTCATTAGAAATGACCCCGGATGAGTCACGGAATTGCTAAGCCTTGGTTTTCTCCACTTTCAAGTAGGAATAATGAACCCTAGGCGTCTATAGCTGTTTTTTTAAACTTAAATAACTTTTCATACAGGCCACTGTGTGGTGACCAGTGGAGTCATTCAAGCATCATGACAAAATAATGGAGTACACCTACCTTGAAAGGTCTTACATATAAACGGGATGTGGCTGAGGCTTTTGACACAAACGCTGAAAATGTTGAGGAAAATGGACTTGTAGAATGTCATTTTCTACCGAAAACCTAGCACTTGTCATGTCCAAACAAGTTCAAGATTTTTCCTGAATCTAGCCTCATGAACCTGCTGGGCACATGTCACACTGTTGCAGACGAGAAAGCTGACTCATAACAAGGCTTTATCAATTGTCCACGGTCTTACTGCCTCTGAATCTTGGATTGGCTGGAGGACGACTTATTTATACACAGCTCTTTACCCTCCCAGCCTCCGTCCCTGCCACTTGACCCTATTAGGGAGAAAACCTAATTCCCTACAAACAAACTCGACTATTAATTTTAGAAAATTTAAGTCTCTAGATCAACACAGACCCTGACTGCTGCCCTCAGAATTGCTACCTGACATCACTGTAAGCCCCACTGGGGAAGCCCCCACCTGCCGGGCTGGGGCCAGGCACCCCTCTGTACACATTGGCTCTCTGCAGTGCTTTGCTCCCAGGCACAGACTCATTTGTCCATTTGCTGGAGCCCATGCTCCTTAAAGTACTCAAATTTAGGTGACCCATGAACATGGAATAAGCAAAAATGCAAAAAATTCTTCTGCTGTTTCTTTGGCCAACTTTCTAACAATGGCTTAAACACCAGTTTTGTAAGAGGCAGGAGGTTATGAAGAACAGAATGTCTGCTTTTAAAAATCTACCTTGAGCAACGTGAAAGTAACCACTGATTAAGTTGAAGAAATTTCCTGCTAAGTTTAATAACCTAGGTCTAAGATTTAAGGTTATAATGAAGAAGGAAACAGCGTTGACTCCATCATTAAACTGTGGATCTGAATATTTGTGATTACGATTAGTCCTTGACCATTCAAAGCTACTTACACACACACACACACACACACACACACACACACACACAGAGTCACTCAAGATAAAGTATAAAAAGAGCTGGAATTCTGAAAAGTAAATCAGCAGTGAGAAGAATACATTTCCCACATTATAGCTACATTTCCCGCAAACACACGTAATTAGAGTCGCACTACTGAATAGAAAGTATGAGTGAACGGAGGAAGGGTTTTTGTCTAGAGACATGCCCACTTCTGATTGAATCATTGAAAAGTGACAGGATGGGGCTTCATAGCCCTTCATCCATCCACTCACCCTTCCATTTGCCCTCAAAATAACTAACCAGAACTGACGGCGTCCACCCATCAGCCCGGGATGTAGGGCTCCATACGGACACGTAACGATGCTTCCGAATGTTCTCCTGCTCAGTGGCAACTGGTGTTGGTGAAGGCATCCGCGGATGGGACACCAAGTATGTGGAGTCTCATGCAAGAAGAAATTGAAAGGGAATGATCCAAAGTCCTGTCAGTTATGACACTCTACTGCTCATTACAGAGCAGGATTGTACGGTAAAGAAAACCAAAGATGGATTTGGGTTTCTTGGTACAGAGAAGCCCCTAGAAAACTGAGCCAGTCCACGTCACCACCATCTGAGCCCCACAAACCCAGCTTCCCACCTGCTGAAAACTGCATTTTGTTTTGGCCTTGTGTGTGGGTCTGAACTTCATGGTTGATTTTTAACGGTCAGGCTTAATCATCGAAAATGCTGAACTACCAAAAGCTAGAGAGCAAACGTCGCACACAGGATTATCTCAGAGATCTAAGGTGTGCTGTGCTATAAATAACAGCAGTATCTGTTTCCATCTGCTAGGGCATGGAAACAACTGAGTCTTTTTTTAAGACTTGCCTTTACAAAAGAACATAGCAGGTGCTTAATCTGCACGATGAAAAGGATATGAATGAGATCTTCATCATGACTGTGAATTGCCGCGTGCAGCTGATCTTCCAAGTACAATAGCTTCTTGTCGATGGCTTCACATTTTTCTCCAAGTTCGGCAGAAAGGACCCAAGATTCCTGGCCAGAGCAAAAGAGCGAGATCTCTCGTAAGCTATAGACTTTTTCGGAACCATGAACCCGTCTGTAGTACCCGGTGGTACCCAGAGGAAAGACCTCCCAACAGAGCTCTCCCGGATTTGCACCCCAGCAGAACCATGCCAGAATCTCTGTCTTCCCAGGAGGTCATTCTTGAGACGACATGGGCCGATTTCAGTTTGTTACCGAATGACGAGCTCCACAGGTGACCTCCCTTCTGTGGTCATTTCAAAGGTTATTTCCAGTATGTCAACTCCTCATGTCGAATTATCGAAGGGGAAGCATGAGTTTTCCAGCAGCATCCGTAGGCAAACTCACATTAAAATAGGAATTCTAATCCAAGGGAGGCTGGGGTGAGTCACAGGAACAACCAGGTTGGCCTGTGAAGCTACTCCTTTAAGAGCACAGGGATCTAACAGAGCACTGGGTATTTGTTTACACACCAGTCACAATCCCTGAAAGTTAGACAGTTAAGGAGGCTCTATTTTATTTTTTATTTGTTTAAACGTTTATTTATTTATTTTGAGAGAGGGAGAGATAGAGAGCCAGCAGGGGAGGGGCAGAGAGAGAGGCAGACAGGGAGTCCCGAGCAGGCTGTGCACTGTCAGAGCAGAGCCCGATGCGGGGCTCAAACTCATGAACTGTCAGATCATGACCTGAGCTGAAACCAAGAGCCGGATGCTTTAACTGACTGAGCCACCCAGGTGCCCAATTAGGGCGACTTTAGGTGTTTGTTGTATATGCAGCTGCTGCTGCCACGACCACGGGTGCTAATTTGCTTTCTCTTTTACCTGAGCACAAGCCCCATAAGAGCAAGGTGGATGGTGTCTTGCTCACTGTGGGGTACAGAGCTTCTGACGCATGGCGGGCACAAGGTATCCATTGGTTCCGTGAATGAATATCCAAGTCTTGGAGCTCCTTCCATCCCAGTGCTCCCCCTTCAAACTTCTGTCCCACACATGAACCCCAAAGTGTCCTCTTTATCCCACTTGCCACCACAAAACCACCACAGAGCAGAGGCCACACTCTCCCCTCTCACAACCTGCCACTAGGCCCACCCCAGTTGTGTCCCCTCATACCCTTACACACGGCCGCATTTTGGCCGACTGGATGGTCCCGTTGCCTTCTGGCACACCATTCCGCCTGCCATTCTGATCCATGTTAGGTTCTCACAGGCATGGGCTAGCCACTCATCCCAGACCCTCAAGCACATGACCTGGCATAGAGAAGCCCACAGAGTTTTAAAAGAAAAGAATGAACGAGGTCAAAAAAAAAAAAAAAAAAGAGAGAGAGAGGAAATAGGGAATCTTAGAATCAAGGAAAAGGGAAAAAAGCAGCATTATGCTTAGTGAGAGAGGGCAGACAGAAAAAGACAAATATTGCATGATATCACTTCTTTGTGGAATCCAAAAAGGCAACTTAGTAGAAACAGAGCGTAGAATAGTGGTTAGCAGGGCCTGGAGGGTGGGGGTGGGAGATGTTGTTCAAAGGGGCAAACGTGTCTCTAGAAGATGAATAAGTCCTAAAGATCTAATGCACGGTACAGTGATTACAGTCAACAATACTATACTATAAATGCTAACAGACTAGATGTTAAACATTCTCACCACAATCAAGAAATGATAATTATGTGACGTGATAGAAGTGTTAGGTAAAGCTAGGGTGATAATCATATTGTGATACATAAACATCCCAAGGCAACATGTTGCATACCTTACACCCTGTTCTATGTCAATTATATTTCAGTAAAAAAAAAAAAAACAAAAAAACTAATAACAATACATAAATAAATAGATAAATAAGCAGCAAAACGTAGACTCAGAATTAAAATCTAACCAAATGTAAAAGTAATATTTTCCCAACCCAGAGTGAAAGTCTTAAAAAGTATGCTAAAAAGAATTTTGCACAAGGAAAAGAATTAAGGTATATATTTAGATTAAACTGCAGGGTTACGACCAAAGCTACAATTAATACCCAACAACAACAAAATGCCCAGGTGTGGTGATATTTACTGTTAAAAAGGCCTTAGAGATCCTGAGTTATGTAATATTATAATTGGAGTCCATGAATAATCATTAAGTCCAGATATGTAATTTAATATTCATTATATTAACTCCACAATGCTTTTGAGTTTATATCCCAATTGGTCAACTATCTTAGAATAGAACAGGGCTAAGGGGAACGACAAATAACTATTGCAAATATTGGAGAAGTCCTTTATACTGCAAGTAAATGTATATACAGAAGGGGAAAAAAAAATCTAGTGACAACCTCATACAATTTTCAAGGACAAATGGACACAATTAGACAAAAAGGCACGTGAAGCGTGCATGAAGGTCTGCCCATAATTGACCACAGCTGGGATGACGGGAAGACAGCAAATATGTAACAATCACACATACGTCCATATTTTACTGATCCTAAAAGAAATAACATTATCATTCAAAGATGCAGAATTACAAGGCAGACAAATTGCATGGAAGCAGAGGCCGTGGGCACTGAGCGACGCCACAGTCATGCATGAAATAAAGGAGACATGACGCAAAAGAGCATCTGGACGAAAACGATGGACAGAGGTGAAACCACAAGTCCTATGCGGACAAAAGCATAGCGCTTTTGTTTTTAATCTTTATTTTTGAGACAGAGAGAGAGACACACACACTGAGTGTGAACAGGGGAGGGGCAAGGAGAGGGAGACACGGAATGGGAAGCAGGTTCCATGCTGTCGGCACAGAGCAGACACGGGGCTCGAGCTCACCAACCATGAGATCATGGCCTGAGCTGAAGTCGGATGCTTAACCAACTGCGCCATCCAGGTGCCCCAGAAAAGCATAGTGTTTTGGGGGAAAATATATATGACTGAAAATACACTTGAAGGGAGGGAAAAGTAGAGGCTCAGAACATGGACCCGAAGAACAGAAAGTACATAAGACGCAGCCAAATGACTTAATCCTCATCTTCAGGCTCAGGGCCACCTGGTCGGTTAAGCGTCCGACTTTGGCTCAGGTCATGGTCTTGCGGTTCATGAGTTCGAGCCCCACGTCGGGCTCTGTGCTGACAGCTCAGAGCCTGGGGCCTGCTTCAGATTCTGTGTCTCCCTCTCTCTCTGCCCCTCCCCTGCTCACACTCCATCTCTCTCTCAAAAATAAATAAAGATTTAACAAAATTTTAAAAAATCCTCATCTTCAGGCTGAAATAAATATAAATCAAAGCTGAATTAAGTTCCTTTAAAACCTGGCTTGACACCCCACACGCCGCCACAAACAGGCAACTCCCACCTGTTTGCCTTTTAAAATTATGTACAGACTGATAGTGACTGTGTGCATTTGGGAAACCAATTTCAGACATATAACAAACACTGTGAATTGTTCATTGTCTCTAATCCAATAATTCTGTTTCCTAGAATCGATCACAATGGAAAAACTTTTATTTAGATTTAAATACTTTTTATTAAGCCTTTTAAATAAGTATGGAAAATGTTATCATATATGTTAAAGAAAAATGTATTTCAGTAATGCAAAGGTAATTGCATGAGAAGTATGGGGAAGAGGAAATAAATGCTGAACAATAAAAGAGATGGTTAAAATAAATTCTGGTATATTCGATTCATATATAGCTATTCACAAAATATTTAATGATGAGGCAATACATAATAGATAAAGCATGCAAATGTTAACAATTATTATTTCAAGGGGTGGTGTTATAGAAGGTTTTTATTTTGTTCTCTGTACTTTGTTGTATTTTCCGTATCTCTAAAATAGAAGAAAGAAAAACATTACCAAGAACGCTAGTTCAAACCATAATGGAAAAGTATGGAAGGAATACATGTGAATATTTTATAGAATAATTTTACAGATTAAAAAGACACAAAGAGGGGCGCCTGGGTGGCTCAGTCAGTTAAGCATACGACTCCTGATTTTGACTCAGGTCTTGATCTCACAGTTCGTGAGACCGAGCCCCGCTGTCAGCCTGGAGCTGCTTGGGATTCTCTCTCTCCCTCTCTCTGTCCCTCCCCTGCTTAGGCAATGAATGAATGAATGAATGAATGAATGAATGAATGAATAAACAAATAAATGTGTAAATAAATAAAAAATATCTCTACATATTAAAAAAAAGGACACAAAGAGGCAAAAATAATCAGATTCAAAGAGCTCAAGGTTCTATGACCACTAACAGAAGATCTGACTGGCATCCTGACACTGGCTGTTTCCCTAAGTTACAGAATCTCTACAAGGTTCCTGCACAAACCACTACTCGGTGGCCCGGCCAACTCTGCTCCTGAACTCCTGGTCCTGCGTGTGGCCTCAGATGCATGTTATTTGAGGAGTTTATGGCTCTACTCTCATGCTGTCACTTGGAACCTTGGGAATCTAGGTTAAGACCCCACCCGAGCAGTGACAGCTGATGAAGGACAGATTTACATATTTCTACCAAGCTGGTGAAAAATTCTGCTCTCTCCAGAGGAATCCTAGTTGTCTGTAGAGGCTAAAGTGGGACCAGAGCCATTAATACAAGCTGAGCACAGCGGCAGAAGTCCTGCCTGTTAACCTTAAACTCGAGGGACTGGTCAGAACTTCCTTGTATTTTCCATGCTATGCCCAGGTAGAGCAGAGTGCCCGTGTGGCCACAGCAATACAGCTTTCCAGAACCTTGCCTCTCTATTGTCAAGAGACAGTTTACTATTCCCTCCCCAACTCCACCTTGAGCCTGGCTGGGCCGCTGAGAATCTTCCAATGGACAGAACATGGCAAAGGTGACTTTCCTGATATCCAAAGCCAGCTCATAATAGATGATGTTTTCTCAGATCACGTGCCCTGGAATGCGGTCTCCATGCAGTGAGGAAGCCCAGGGTCCATGGTCAAGCCATGTGTGGGTGTCTGGTTGAGACTCCCAGTGCTCTTCATGCACTAGGCTCCTCTTGGCTTGAAATTTGTAACGTTTGCTTCCATTTTTATTATTAAATTAAATGTGGCAAGGGGCGC